GACTCCAGCCGACAGCCTGACTGGCTCCAGACTTCAGGCAGACCGACCTCAATTTTCATAGACTGCTTCTCGCCCAAAAGCTCCACTATATCAAACAGCCCTTCCTGTGCAGGAAGTGGCTCTCCCTCCTGCAGCATTCTGGGGCAGATCTTCTCACAGCCTAGATGGACTTCCTGTCCTCTCTAGGGAGCTGCCCTCTGACTGCTGGTTGGAGACAGGAGGGGGGGGATGAGGAGGAGACTAGGCCAAGGCCTACCTCAGGTTTGATAGTCCCCTCCTATCTGGCCCACACCAACTTAAACATAGGCATAAAATGGCGTTTCTCCACAGTTGCCATGAAATCTTTTGCTGGGTAAGCAGAGGCCACTTAACTGGCCTTCTGCCTAGTCCTCCTCATGGGGTTGTTGTGAATATAACATTGAGAAAGTTCCATTCTGATTGCCCTTTGATACTTGGAAGAAAAATGAGACACAAGTGTAATAAATATTTTTAACTACTAGTCATTTATTTATTTTATTTTTGCAATTTCTATCCCACCCTACCCAGTGGCTCAGGGCGGCTAACAACAGTGTTTAAAACAGTAAAACAATAAAACAATTTTACATATATAATAAAACTGGTGCTCCAAATCTATACAATCTATACATTATACAAGATACTCAGCTGCTCATATTTGCGACCCATGAACTTAGTAGTGGAGGCGCCCCAACACACTCAAACTAAACAGGAATGGAAATTATATTTCATTTTTATATAATCATATTTTTAGACACTAGGATGTTTAGGATATTTTCAGTGGCTTTATTCATATCTTTTTGAAATTGAGTTTTTTCCCTACTTAGTGGCACTCCACTCAGTAAATCTGGAAGGCCAGCTGCCTGTGGGCGAGCCATTTAAGTCAAAGAAGGCTTCAGACTTTACTGGCTGGAGGAAGGCTTCAGACTTTACTGAGTGGAGCGCTAGGATACATGTCAGTATGATTAGATGTGGTCTCTACGGGATGTAGACACCAAGACCAAAGACTTCCTACTTGGGATGTTGGCTTATGTAAACTAAAGCTTCTTTCCCCCAGGAGAAGCAGCACTGGGCACGAGTGGAAAGACAAAGCTATTGCGACTGCCCTAAGTTGAGGTTCTTGTTTTGGAGGCTGCACAGTCTGTTTAATCTCTGTATGGAGGACATATGGAAGCAAACCGAGTATCATCTAAGGGAGATTGCCTGCAAGGAGACTGCCTGCAAGGAGACTGGAAACCCTGAATTTCTTAGCATTTTCTTTTCCAGCATCTGGGTTGTGGTGCCTGAATTCCCAAACGCCTGACCTCTTGCACATCAGCTTCCATCAGCAAAGCATCTTGGGTTTCTCTTGATAACAATGAGGCGTGACAGACCCCAAGAGCGGGCAGCCAGCTGGCCAGCAGAGCACATCAAGGTGCTCCTTGCCCTGTGGACTGAGGCAGCAGTGACTCACGATCTCAGCTCCCACGGCAGGAACCGTGCAGTGTATGATGGCATTTCCCAGCGTCTTGCAGAAATGGGCATTTACCGGACTGGGGACCAATGCCGGGAGAAAATGAAAGGTCTGAAAGTGGCCTACCGCAAAGCCAAAGAGAACAACTCAGTGGGGCGGCCCCCCATCAAGTGTCCGTTCTATGATGAGATAGACCAGATAATGACACAGTACATCAACTGCAGGCCAGGCTTTCCCTCAGAGGCTAGTGAAGGATCCAGCACCATTGTAGACAGGCAGGAAGGGCTCCCCATCTCAGAGCCCTGGGGGTCCCAGTCTGGCATCTCTGAGCGCTGGGGATCCCAGGCCACAGGACACTGGTTATCACAGGCTGCTGCCTCTGAAAGTCAAGGGACTGACGAGTTCAGCTATGTCCAGGCAGAGTCTCAAGATGCCTTTGGTGAAATCCAAGTCATCCCAGTCCAAGTGAAGGAAGAGGAATCAGAAGATGAGATATCGCCTGAGCTTGGTAAGCGTTCTTGCTTGTTTTGCCTGAGTTTATGTCAGTGGGTCCTTTGCTGCAGGATGCCTCAGGTTGGGCTGACTCCTTGCTTTATGAAGTATACTGTTGGTCCTTTTGATCTGAAGTGTTTATTTAACTTGAGACATTTGCTAGGCCTTTACTCCCCAAAAGCTGGTACCCATATGTATCTCAAGCACTGGCCTTTGCTCTTTTGGGATGTCTCAAAAGAACTGCTGTTGTCAAAATTCTGCTGCCATCTAATAATCAAATAACTAAAATATATCACAGTCTTGACAGAACACATTTTCAGAAGGAACATTATCAGTTCAGTGGGATGTTAGGATGCCCACTGTGTACTCGGTAGCTTGCTCACTATATCTTGATGCTTACTTGACTAACACACTTCATCGCTTTGGACTGCAGGATCCTTCTTGTGCGGATAACATACCTTGTGAATATTCCTCAGTGAAAATATGCTGGTCTTTGGAGGCTTTCACTTCAAGGTCCAGAGCTCATAGAAACCTAGATATGCCCAAAAAGGGGGAGTCATACTAATTGCAGTAGTCTGGGTAACTGCAGCCCAACTGTTGTACTTCTATTAGCTCTTTCCCCACTGTTTTTTGCATCTGGAAATTTATTCAGTATCCCAGGCTGAATTAGAAAACAGAGTCGCTGATGGACCCATCCTGTAAAAGAAACATGAATGGGCAATTCCATACTAACAGGTTTGTTTCTGTGTGTTCATGAGACCACTGGAGAAAGGGAAACTGCAAGAGGAGAATGTTCTGTTGCAATCAAATCTAATCAGCAGAGTATAATGAAAATTAATATTCTTGGGCTTGTGTTGTGTATGTTAACTTCTCTGCATCTAATCTTGCAATCAGATTCCTGTAATACCTAAACTCTCCCTGTCTTTGGTTGCTAAAGAGCAACAAGAGAAGATTGCACAGCAATACAATAATAGCAACAAAAGTAAAGGATGTGAATGAGGCCACAAAATAAGTTGCTAATGTATATTATACAGTGTCTATTCAATAAAGTACATGGCATCCTTAACCATAAATTTAGTATATGATATTTCTTCAAATAATGAATTGTTCCTCCAATGAAGAATCTGGATTAATACAATTCGTTGGAGGAACAATTCATGTACTATATATATGGTTAAGCATACCATGTACTTTACTGAACAGACTTTGTAGATTTCACATATTTCTTCTTTTATGATTGTATAATACACATCAGCAACCATTTTTGTGTCCTTATTCACAGCCTTTACTTTTGCTGATATTTGGTTGCTAAAGCCTGCCCAAACATTCGGGGGGGTGGGAATCAAATGGTACTTATGGAGCTATATCACTTTCAGAGGGTCACATATTTGACTGTTCTCCTCCCTCCCCCCAGTGTGTCTTCCCATGAAGTGTTAGCTTTCCAAACATAGTAAGTTGTGAAATAGATTAGCGCAACTGCATGCTCACAATCTTCTTGTGAAGATTGGTTGATGTACTTTCTCTGAAGTTTGTTCCATTTTTGGTCTTTATGAATCCTCTCGCTTTCTCACTCGGGTTATCCCAACTGTTAAAAGTATATGTACATAATTGCATTCCTCCAGATGTTCATTAGGTGTTCTTGCTTTTCATAGATGTGGCCTCTCCTATAGTGATGGAAACACAACCTACGCCAAGGCATCTCATCTCCATGCTTGACCAGCGTCCTCACCTTCGAACCCGGAAGCAAAAAGTTCAGGGAGAGGGGCAGTCAAGCTATCAAAGGGGAGCTGGCCAGAAGTACAGCCGTTCCCATCATCTGGAGCTGCAGAGAATGCAGAGACAGGTGGCCAGCCAAGCCGAGGAGAAGCAGAGCTTAGCAGAGTTCATCCAGCATGACAGGGAGATGCGCCGGGAGGACAGGGAATTCCAGGCCCAGCTCTTTGAGAAACTTTTTCAGAAGCAAACGGAGCTTGTCCAGGCACTGTCTCAAAGAGCTCCTATCAGCCCTACCTCCGCTGCCTGTCCCAACACCCTGCAGGCCTTGCAGCTGTCTGCAAAGAGTGGAGCAGGAATAGCCACAGGCCCTGGTTCTCAGTTACAGGCTTTGCTAGAACAGATAATGCAGGCTGAAGTATCAGGGAAGGGTCTAACCAGGCTTGCTGTGAAGGAGGCCCTTGGAGGAACTGTGAAAGTGCCTCCTGAGGTACAGTACTGGACGGCTGAAGAGATACTGAGGTGGCTGCTGTCTCAGCAGTCACCTAACGACCAGTGCCAAGAGGTGTTAGTGACTCCCAGACTAGGGACAGAGCCTGGTAAAGGCCCTAACAAAGCCCAGCAGCTCTGTGGGAACAACTGTGCTAAAGAGACAGAAACAGACATTGACATCGAAATCCAGCGTCAGTGTTTCCGGCAGTTCTGCTACCAGGATGCCTGTGGGCCCCAGGAGGTTTACAGGTGCCTGTGGGACCTTTCGCATCAGTGGCTGAGGCCAGAGATCCACACCAAAGAGCAGATCATGGAGCTGCTGGTGGTTGAGCAATTCTTGAGTATCCTTCCTGAGGAAATCCAGACCCTGGTACGAGAGTGTCAGCCAGAAAATGGCAAGGAGGCTGTGGCCCTGGCAGAGAGGTTCCAGCTTCACTTTGAGTCCAAAAGGAAACGGGACCGGGTGAGATCATGTTGAGAACTAGTTATTTCTGATTTGGGGGGGATATGAGACTTCACATAGATTTCTGTTTGGCCAAGGAATCGTGAGAATCCCATCTCTGTTTCGAGTGACTGATTCCAGCCTCTCCGTTCAAGGAAGGAGAAAACAGGGAATTGGTGCCTGCGTTCTGACCACTGGAAGTCATGGCTGTTGGTTCCCTAGAAATCTCAGGGTTTGGCAGACACTGCGTGCACATCAGATTTCTTCAAAACCACTAGGATGGCTAGAAATTCGCTTTAAAAAAGAAAGAATTTTTGCAGTTCTCATGAATGTTCCCTCTAAGCTGTGGAGTCCCATGAGCCAAAATCCTACTTTGTGAGCTACTGGCATTAAAGTTGTGAGCAGGTGATTTGGCTATTGCATCAATTAGTTGGCTCTGGAGCCATCCTTCCTGAGCTAAGACAAAAATGCGTGAGCCAGAGGCTAAAAAACTGTGAGCTAGCTCACACTAACTCAGCTTAGAGGGAACACTGCTCATGATTACAAAGCACGAGATTCAGAACCTCACATTAATGCCCTAGAATATGTTTAGTGCTTTGAAAAGGACTGGAAGCATATGCAGTAGATTTCTGTCTTTAAAGGAAACTTAGCAAGAGGTGGTTTCCTCAGCAAGAATTTTTTTTAAAAAAGGAATCAGATCATTAGTAATAAACAGTAAATGTACTGTATTCACTCATGGCTCACAGGTAACAAGGGAACAGCTCTTGTATCCCTTATGGGGCCTGTTATTTGAGCAGCAAGTGAAGAATACTGGCTTGACATTCTTGTTCTAGACACGAGTGACATCTGAGGACGTGGTTCCAGTTTCTTCCAGAGGAAAATTGGATGACAATGAAACACAAGGGTGTGTCAAAGATGGCCAAGAGAACCCTAGGAGGACTGGCTTACTTGGTAAGGATTTGCTTATTAAATTGAACACGTCTTTTGCTGTAATAGCTCAGACCTCTCCCCTGAGCTTCCCATAGCACCCAATGATTCATGCAGGTATAGCAAACCTCACAATACAGCGGAAGGCAAAATATCCCTAAAATCAGTAGAGTAGCCAGTGGACAAAGGCTGGGGGGGAGTAGATTCCTGCCAACAAGGGAAGCTAGTCCCATCCATTACCGAAATACAGTCCACCTTCCAAATAAAAAATGTATTCAGGTGGATGTTTGAAGGTACTTGGGGTATCACTTTAATCTGTGACAGTAACAATGCCAATAATATCACGTACTTGTTTGTCCTTAATGAAGATTTATTAAGGAAATGAAACATTGGACTTACCTGAAGAGTTCTTCTCTTCTGTGGGGTGAAGTCATCCAAGTTTTTTCCTACCATAAGAGGACCATGGGAACACTTTCTGAGTTCTCTGTTCCAATTGTCAGTTTATGAAGTTTTTTGATGTTGTATTTAGGGTTGAATAAAATAAACAAACAAATGGAGTCCTCATTATTGGGAGCTAGGCTATTTTATGTCAGGAAGGACACCCTCGCTAGGTCCTGGAAGGCGTACAAAAATTTGTATAGCCCTGCCTGGAGCAAGAAGAGGCGAGGTGGATGACTTCCCCGCTGAAGGAGAATTAAGGTTTATGTAGGAAACACTGTGGTGGCTCAAGTGGTTAAGTTGCTGAACTGCAGGCTGTGGAAGATCAGTAGTTCAGCAGTTCGAGACCCGGGTGCCGCAAGATGGAGTGAGCTCCCGTCTCTAGTTCCAGCTCCTGCCAACCTAGCAGTTCGAAAGCAAGAAATTGCAAGTAGATAAATAGGTACCACTTCGGTGGGAAGGTAACAGTGTTCCGTGCGCCTTGGTGTTTAGTCATGCCAGCCACATGACCACGGAAACGTCTTCGGACAGCGCTGACTCTTCGGCTTTGAAACTGAGATGAGCACCGCAACCCTAGAGTCGGATTCGACTGGCTTTCGAGCAAGGGAACCTTTACCTTTACCTTTAGGAAACTCTAATATGCGAAATGACTGAGTGGCCCTTGAGCAGATCACGGTCAGCCTCTATCCCTCCTCTGCAATATTGTTATTTATGAACTGTCATAGTCCGATATTTCACTGGTAGACCGTGTTCTGCAGTTTGAGATCTAGCTAAGTTCTTGGGAACTGCGGATGTACCTTTGCAGGATTCTTGCTGTTCCAAGCAACACTGTCTTCTGGAGCTGAGCTGGTGTTATTTGTTCAATGCCCAGAATATCCAGGTGTTTCTTCTGCTGCTTCGTCTTCTGACTTTGTCCATGGGACCCAAGGGAGATTACAAGTATGATGAAAAAATTTCAGTCAGTCAGTAAGCAGACTACAAGATAGGATAACATTTCAAATCAAACTGCAAAAATTCCTAGTAAGACAAAAAAAAAATGCAGTTAGGCTGGGATCACAGAATGGGGGGGAACGGGACCCAAACAATGGATGCAAACATGTCTAAGGCAACAGGGCAATCAGTGTAAGAAACACCTGATCCCTAATAAAAGTCACCTCCTGGACTACCATGAGATTATTGTGAGGGCAAGGAAAGACTGCGGTGGCTCAAGTGGTTAAGACGCTGAACTGCAGGCTGTGGAAGGTCAGGAGTTCAGCAGTTCGAGACCCGAGTGTGCCGCATGATGGAGTGAGCTCCCGTCTCTAGTTCCAGCTCCTGCCAACCTAGCAGTTCGAAAGCAAGAAATTGCAAGTAGATAAATAGGTACCACTTTGGTGGGGAGGTAACAGCGTTCCGTGCGCCTTGGTGTTTAGTCATGCCGGCCACATGACCACGGAAACGTCTTCGGACAGCGCTGGCTCTTCGGCTTTGAAACAGAGATGAGCACCGCAACCCTAGAGTCGGATTCGACTGGCTTTCGAGCAAGGGAACCTTTACCTTTTAAGGAAAGACTGCCAGGCATTTTTGCACAGTTCTAAGTGCTGTGTTCATGATTTCTTTGGCTGCATCAAGCCTCTTCCTGTGGGCTTGTATCTTCAGGCTCCTGGCTGCCAGGTAAGGAAGCGTTAACCATCCAGGGATGCTGCACCTGAGGGCAAAGAGCCCAGGTCTTCTGACTCCCACCCTGGGGCCGTAACCAAAAGCCCATCTGTTATTTTTTTCTATCCCGGCAGGTGTCTCAAGATAAACTTATTCTCCATCTTCAGGTACAGAAGCGCACCTTCGGCTGAGGAAGAGGCCAAAGTCGGGGCTGAGAGAATGGATCGCATCCAGGCAAGGTGGAGAACACGGAGAGGCAGCAGCAAAACACAGGAAGTTGGATAATAGCTTAGAGGAACAGGAAGTGACTGAAGTTGTGGAGAGAACAAACCACAGGCCAACTCCCCGGCCAGGAAAGCAAGATGGAAAAGGGCAGGAAAGATCTGTTCCCAGGCATCCTCCTGCGGAAAGTACCGCTGAGAGACAAGCCAAGGCAGAGGGCAGTGGCAGGGCTTCAGACTCTCTGAATGGGACGCTTCCTTGTGGTACGTTGCGCACAGGGAAGACGCCGGCAAGCCTTGTGCCTTCGCAGCTGGCTTTCGACAAGGATGACGCTGTCTGCAGCCCTCGGCATAGGAATGACAGCCGCACGTCTCCTGAAGCAGACGGACCTTCTCTCAGTGACAGCATTGACCTGCTGCTGGATTCTCCGTGGAGCGGAAATGGCAGTGGTGACATAACCCACGACGGGCCCTCTGATCCCAGGGTGCCGCCATCCTGTGCCACCTGCACTGTCCTGAAGGCTGAGCTGGACACCATCCGTGAGGAGCTCAGGATAACCCAAGGTAACCAGGGGCGTGAATGGGAAAGGCTGTATCACTGGCTCAGGTTGCCAGCCTCTCTTTGACCATGTTGTTTTGCAAGAACCTGTATTGTGATTGCACGCTCGTGTGGCAGGCAATAACTCTCTTTGTTAATGCTTGCTGTTACTGCTGTATATGACAGTGGTTTAGCATGAACAGTGTGCTGGCCACAGGCTGCACACATGACACCACTCCACTGGAATGCTACTGACTGAGAGCAACATCCCCGGGGCAAGTCATTTCCCTTCTCCCCCCTCTCCTTAACATCTAGAAGCATTTGCACACAATCCGCCAGCTTCATGCTGGTAACCAGACCCCTGCGAGCGGCAGCCAACGTCATGGGGAAGGCTAATGTGATTTATGATAGTGTTTGCTTCAAGTGGTCAATGCCCCTAGATGCAATGGCCTAGGGAGTGGGGAGCTCCATAGCAGTATAATGCATAGCTCAACTCAGAATCCAAATACCGTGAATACAGGCGACGGTGGTGAGGGAAATCAGGAACCATTCACTGGTGACACCAGTGGTGGCCTATGAAAGTCTTTGCAGAAGTGGGTTTTAATGAGGGATCTGAAGGGAGGAAGGCTGTGCCAGGTGTACAGAGCTGTGTGTAGGAGGCAGTGAGGCACACAGAGATACTTGAACAACAGCAGATGATTCTGCAGAGCAGAGAAGGGGGAGGTGATCAGAGAAAAGATACAGTTGAAGTAGGGACCCATAGATCTAAAGGAAGGATCTGAAAAGTTGATCTAGTTCAGAAATGCAAAGTAGATCTTTAGGATCAAAGAGTAATTATTGAAAAAAGAAAGTGGCCCTAGCAAGGAGTCCAGCAGGGACTGTGAGCCACTTTCCTCCTACCTGTGTATTGACAGTGTTGCAGTTCAGTTTCATGTTTGTTGTTTCTGCAGCTTCCACACTGTATGGACTCAGTGGGACCTCCCTGCGAGACTTATCTGAAGCTCTTGGCACCATTGCGCACATCCTCAACAACAGGATGTCTTCATCAACAACAAACGCATCCCAGAAAATTGCTGAAATCCCTACTAGACCAGTATGGCAGGAGAGAAATGTAAGTCCTCTCATATTCCCTATCCTGTGATTTTCTTTAAAAGAAAGACTGGTTCTTCTATTATCTACTTCCCACTTTTTGTTCCATAAAAACAGGATTCTCAGTAATCTTTCTCCATACCGAAAGCAGGTAAAAAAAGAGGAGGGAGCACAAATGCATGAATATGGTTTAGTGGGAATTATATTCCCTAAACATTTGGCTTTGTTACTTGCGTTGTAAGATGGAGTCTGCCGCTTTCCTTTCACTCCAGAGCAGGTGCCCGCACCGGGCAGGCCATCTCATCTGAGCAGGGTACAAGGAACTACTTTTGCTCTTGCTCTAAATCTACTACCCGGCGCCCTTAGAGGACCCTGGGCTGCTCAGAGTGGATGGCTTCAGAAGTGAGTGGGAACGGGGATGGCCCTGATCTGGGAACAGATCAAGCCAAAGTCTCCCTCCTGAAAGGATTCATAGATGGGGGAAGAGACAGGGGTTAGGACTATGATGCTGCAAACACAATGTATGAAGCCAATACTAAGGACAAGGGACTCTGGCCTAGGTTATGTGGAATAGCCCTCCTTGAGGAAGTGCAGAATTAGTACAACTGCCATCCCCTCCCCCACCCCCCGTTTATGCAGAGTACTGTCCTACTACCCTTAAGAAGCATAATGCATCCAGGTGTGTGCTTTTCACCTCTGTTGCACAATAACTGGTGGGAGCAAGCCCTGAGTTTCTCCCCCTTATGCTTTTGTTTTCAACTTCCTACAGGACTGAATGGTTTTGTTCCTACTGTGTTCCTATAAACATTACCAGATACCTCCAAAGAAAGTGAATGCCATTAGTTTACTTGGCCCTCCTAATCATAAACTGTAGTGACACCTGGGAGAGGTTTTAACTGTCATCCCTCTAAACACACAAAGTTGAATGAGTGTTGTTAAAGCAAAGTTTCCAAATGTTTTGGTTACTGAGGGAATGGAAAAATACTTTGTTAACAGCCAAGAACTGTTGAAAAAGCTTTCGGAAGAACTTTCAACCATTTT